GCGGGCGGGAGGCGCCACGGGGGGCGACCGGGACCCGCGGGGAGAGGGTGCCGGGCTATTCCGCGGCCCTTTTCTTGACTCCAAGGTGAAGCTTGTATGTGGGCAGGAGCGTTTTGCCTTCGCCCGGTGTCACTGTTCTGTTTTTCGTGACCCTTCTTCGTGCTGTCCCTGACCTGCGACCCCCTGGCTGGTCGATGGGGTTGAATTGCTTCTCTCCTTGGTTAATTGTTTATTCTCTGCTTCCATCTGCCAGGTAGTCTTTGTCTGGAGGATGTTTCCTTTCTGTATTCAACGCTGGGTGTTGTTTTCTGTGTGTGATTTAAAAAAGGATGCTACTTTTTAGCATAGTGAGATGCTTAAATCTTGATTCCTTGGGCTCTTTACTGAGAAGCAGGAGGTGTGTGTGTGTTTGTGTGGTCTTACATTTTATCGGATTTCTTTTTGACACAGGCTTGTCAGTTTTCCGATCCTTCCTTTGATTTACTTTTCAATTTTTATTCTACCTCTTGTTCTTTCACTTAAGAGTTATATGTTGTGACTGACAAACATACGACATGGAATAACGTGAGCTGTTTTTTGTTTCTTCTCTTTAAAGGGTGGTGTTTTTTTTTAATATAGACTTTGCTTATATATTGGAGGACTTCCAAATGGATTATGTGGTGATACTGGTCAGGATATAGGCAGTTTCCCGCCGTCCCAGTGAAATCTCAAATTATGTACAACTTCAAATCTTCCCTCATCTCTTTAAAATAATATTTTTATATTAAAGTGTATTGCATACATATAAAGTGTATTGTATTGGACCAGATGCATCATAGGCTCATTGCTGTACTTACGCTCCAGGGAGGATCAAAAGAAGTTATTTTTGGTTTGTGCCATATCTTATGGTAGGTTTGTAGAGCAAGGTGGCTGCTGTTGTCACTTAGATTTGTATTCCATAAAGTTAGGATGTCTTTCATTATGTTGTGTATCATGATTTAGCAATCCTACTATATTGCAGCAAGAACTAGGAGGAAATGCCTTATTCTATTTATTTGATGAAGGTCCTCGTACTCTCTGGAAACACTGAGAAAAGGAGTACAAATCCGATGTTGGGGGGAGTGGGATACAACACTAGTGTTGTGATTTCTACTGTGAAAAGGGATCTCTGATTTTATGGGTGTATTTCATGAGTACTTTGTTTACATGCAGTTCTTCAGATTGTGAAACTGCATCTGATTATGAGGTGTTTTATGATTAATTTCAGAATTATTTAACCTATGTAAGCTTGTTTGTGTCACTGCTTCAGCATATTACTGACATCATCAAAAGCACTGCATCATGGAACTGAAGCTGCAGAAAATGAGTTCTCCAATAGGGACTCATTTACCTTCTCTGGCAAAATGTTTTCCTCAAGTGACTCAAGTTTTTCCATGTCTTTCTACTACGGTTCAGCTAGGACCAAAACTGACTGTTTGGGTGATTGCTTGAGACAAATAATCTTACATAATTTTTGGATAGTCATGCTGTCCCTTTTTATAGTTAATGGACCCGTCATTGAAAAGTCAGAGCCAAGTCTATTTTAATATTCCTCCACATCTCCACTTTACTGTTACTTGGCATAGTGGACCCTGGATCAGAGGTGGACCATGCAGAAAAACAGCCTTCTAAAATACATTGTATGTGACTTCTCTCTGATCCCGGCTTTTTATCTGGCAGTAACTGAAGGTGAAAAAACACTTAATTAAAGTTGAAACTAATTGCAAGTCTCTTGTTGATTAGATTATTTTTTTACAGCGAACCATAATTAAGTAAAACAATAACAGGTTGTAACTTAAAAAGGAGACAGATACAATTTGATAATGGCTTTAGGCCTATAGGATATATTTTAGCTTCAAGAAGATATTTTCACTGCTATCAACAGTGTCACTGAGATTTTCTCAGTGTTTAATTTATTGAAGCACTAGAAGTTCTCGTTCACTACAGACCATACTAAAATTTCTAGGAGAGGAGGAAAGAAAATTCCTTTTTAGTGTGTCAATTTTAGTGTGAGTGATAGCACAAGATTGAGAATAGGAACTGCACAGAAAAAAGCAGAGTCAAGCTACATGTGACATAAAATGGGAAAGAGTAATGTGAACTTAGAATCCTTTGACATGTACATGATTTTTGGGTAGTTCAGTGTTTTCTATGCATACAGCGTGACCAGTGTCACCAGAAAAGGAAGCAGTTCTTAAACCAGTTTAGCATATGCTAACGAATACAATAAAAATAAAACTATCCCTTCCCATTACCCTTTATTGTATAGATTTGGAACGATGATTATGGCAGAACAAAAATATTTCCTTAGTCTTACTAAGCAGTTGCCGCTAAAGTAGATGTAGATAGCGATGATTTTTTTTTTTTTATCTGAGAGCGTGTGAGCCTGAGGGACCAGTCTTGGTTGTATTTTTATTGGTCTGCTGCAAAATTAAATTATCAGTAAACTATTGTCCACAGGGTGCTATTTTTACATCGTTTGTTGTAGTGTGTCCAGCTATCAGCTTTTAAGAAGTCCGGTAAGATCAAAAATGTATTTCTGAAAACTACTGTTCAAAGACATACTCCAGATGTGTCCAGCAAAAACTGTACTAATTAAAGAACAATGGGTTTTTTTTCCATCCAACCAATTAGATTCTTTTAATTAACTATTTAAAGTCTGTATTATGGAGCTGTGCTCTGTAGGGAAGATGGGCATTGTTCATTCCATAGCCTATGTAACAGTACCAAATAGCTTGCCACTGTTAGGTAATATACTGATACATAACAGCTTTGTCATGACTATTGCAAGTACTTATTGCTGAAATCTAGGGCTAGGTATTATTGAGGTACCCTAAACTTTTCGAAGAAAATATTTTTTAAAAACCCACTCGTGTTTCTTCATGATAATTTGGACAGGCATTCAGTCTGAAATGAGAACAGGTTGGTTTGAACTCCCACAATTCTAACATGTTATTTGTGTTACGTGAAGGCAACAGGTTGTGTCCTCATTTGTGCCTCGTACTGTGCAGACTATGTCTTCTGTGTCCCCACGTTGTACCCTGAGCATAAAGCCTGTCTTCTCTCATCTTGTGCCTTAAGACTGAACAGCATCTGGGGAGTTAACTGGATAGAATGTACACCAGTTTTATGCTGTATTCTCTAACTTCTCTTTCAGCCCGCACCTTTGCCTTTCTAGGATATCTTTGTTTCTCCCCCTTTTTTCTTTCTCACTTAAAGCTTTCTAATCTTAGATCAAATTTCAGATTTCTGTGATAATTTTATGTAAACCTAGAGGAATATGGCAACTCAGAATACTGAAGAACCAAATCTGATCCTTTAACAATTGCTAAATGTACCCTCAGTTGTGAAAGCTCTCTCTTTCGGAGGAAAAAATATTCAGAGTGTATTTATATTTTAACGTTAATTTGTTCAGCAGTAAGGAAGATGAGTATAATTTGCCTATCATTCTTAAAGGGGCAGGGAAAAAATCTTATATTAGTTTTAATTGCCATATCTTATCTAAAAGCAGCTCGGTGTCTATGCAGATTTCTTTGTTCTGTGTCCTCTCCAGAAATTTTTTCAGGGCAGGTTTCAGTCTGGGGGATTGGTCTGTAAGAAAGATGAGTGGCTGATGGCCTAGGAGTGACAAATACAAGGCAGACAGTTCATCTTGGTGTCCTCCTGCCTCAACAGCCATGAGTTGCAGCTGGTTTTGATGTAACCTCGGCATTCATCTAGCCTAGTGCTGTAGGTGAAGGAATGCTGAGTGGCCTGTGACCCCAATTATCTGCTTGAAACTGGGAGATGATGAAGAGCGGTTTTGTGCGAATCATACCTTCTGGGGGATATGACCTTGTTTGAGTAATCAACGCTTGACTGTACTTGAGAATAAATTGATAACTATTGCTTATTATCTGTGCCTTTTTCTTCTCACACATTTCCTTCCTAACATCAGATTTGGAACTGGCTAGCAAGAATGAGTACAAACAGGTGTGGAAAAGTTTCACATCACATTTATTTTTCTCACTTTTTACATAAGTAACCTTCATCTTTCTCCCTCAGCCACTGCTGCATATATGGGCTGTTAGTGTGTGTACTTGTTTTCTCCATTTCTCCTTCCTATTCCTTTATCTAAAAAAAAATGGTTATCGATCAATTGAATGGTAAGGAAACAGCTTTTAAAACTTTAATTCAACAGGATTTCATTACAGCTAGGCTGTTTTACCAGTAATATTTTTGATACAGCTTTGTGAGCTATGAACACTTCATCTGGATTCAGCGATAGGGAAAACAGATATGGGGATGTGTAGCTGCTGTTCTCTTGGGTGAGGTAGTTCTGTAGTTTGTTCAGATAAACAGCTGAAAAAATAAGATGTAACATACAAGTGGAGAAAAATGAAGATATTTAAAAAAAACCTTTATAGGGACTCTGATACGTACAGCTTCTACTTACGGCGAAGCTAAACAATTAATTTATGCAATAATCTCCCTTATTTTGATTGACAAGGAGGGGGGATTAGGACACTCTAACCATAGTCTTTTAAATTTATTTTTCCTGTTGTAATAACAACAAAAAAATTAGTTTTCTAGCTGCCTTCCATTTTTATGTGGTGACACCTGTCATGGAGGAAGATGTAGTTTCAGACACTGTTTTCCCACAGTTTTTGGAGTCTGATTTAATTTGATCTGTTCTTCTTCCTGTTGGAGTGGGTTTCAGAGGCCATTAAATGATGACAGTCATGTAGCATAGACATTGATTGACTTGACACACATCTTTTGTTCACTCTTTCATTTGCTTGGCAGCTCTTTAGGATTATGAGCAGAAATTAAAACATGGAATGCTTGAGTATTGTAATACAAAGAAGGAGTAACGTGAATTACTTATTTTTGCAGGGAGTGGACGTCCTCAAACATGATACTTCTGTTTTGTGCTAGGCTC